GAATTTCTTCCCATCATAAAGATTGTAATCACCCAAACTTGCTAACACAGAAGGATCCTAAAGTGTGCCAAAGGTTAAAGACCCTCTGTAGTTCAAGTTGAAAGGGTCCTTATCTCCATGTTCTCGTTCTGCCAAGGAGGGCCTGTTCTGTTTCAAGTGTGTCAGCAATGAGCTCTCAAGAGGTCCCCGCCATTATTTTCCTGTTGAAGCACCCATGGCACACAATCACTCGCTCGTACCAGGCTAATGCTAACACAGTGGTAGAAATCGTTTTTCAGTGTTCTGCAACATTGCAGAAAGTCAGAAATACTTTCTGCAAATACACACTTAAAAGTCTTGATCTAAACTCATGGCATATACAAAATTGCATGTTGACAAACATTTTACGTGTTATTTGAAAAATACATGCAAAATTACTTGCATATCATAGAGTCAGTAGTAAACACAGAAAGCTTTTAGACACTATTAGACCCCTAGCCTGATTTTTTCATTCTGCAAATTTGCATGTTGCTTAAATTTTCTTCTGTAATATTGAAAATGTCCCTGCAGAATGCAGACGGGTATTTCTACCACTGCAACAGGAACATACAGACGCCCTCCCTGTCCGACACTGTTATCTCTTGTCCAAATTCGCAACAACAACGGGAAGCGGCACGTTAAGCTCCCTTGACGGACAAATCCGGCCGTCGCGTTGTTCCTTCCTCCGCAACTTGAATCTTTCTTCTGCAGATCTACATCGTTTGTCATGCATGTTTCCTGTGTGGGACATGGGCAGGAAGATCCAGCCGGCCCCGTGCCATCTGTTTCCCAGCTACGACTGTGAACTTCTTCTTCCAAGTTCATACCACGTGTGTCTGGACCTCTAGAGCCATCCAAACCAATTCTAGACATAGGGGCCACTTAAGTTCATCTTTACTGATAGTCTAAGGAAATGTTGTGGTCAATTCAAGAAGCTGTCCCTCATTCTTTGAATCCTTTTGAATCACGGACACGTTTTATTTTTCCCAAGCTACAACTGTGAACTTCTTCCAAGTTCATACACATGTGTCTGAACCTCTAGAGCCATCCAAACCAATTCTAGACATATGGCCACAAAAATCTTATCTATTTTGACATATGATTTAAGAAAAACTTGTGGTCAACGCAAGAAGCTGTCCTTCATTCTTCGAATCCTTTTCGATCGTGATCTTGTTTTATTTTTCGAGACGCGTCAAGGGGGGCATGGGTTTGGTATGCTGTCTGACTCAGCCTCAGGTTCACCCTGGCATACTACAATGCACCAGAGGATTGGCCGGCATTCTCCTGCCTGTAGCCAGGGCTCATCCCAACAAATTGGGAGATGACAACTGCAGCCGCAAAAACCGGCCACCCTGTTTAGATCTCAGCCACAGGTGAAGAAGAATTCACACGTCTACAACAGGGGAGACACGGATTCCAACCGATCCCTTCGATCCCTTCTCTCCGCAGTTAGTCGCCGGTGTCACTCCCAAAGCATGCAGGTCAAGGGTAGCAGGGGGGTTTTAGGATATCTCAACCGGCCAAGGGATCAGCTATTTAGTGCCAACTTTAATCAGGAACTTTTGCTCTGGCTCGTACCAAATGCTGCTCCCCTACAGAGAGCCCTGCAAGGTTCGCTCCAGACACAAACGTCAAGCTTGGAGCTTTTCAAATGTGAGTGGAGTACGTTTGACTTCACTGCACCAGATTTATGCTCCCAGCCCCGCTTTTTACCAAAATTGCTCAACTGCAAGAATTAGATAAGTATAATCCATTTGTGCACACGCACAGGTAGTCCTGGTGGACCCAATCACTGTAACATATACAACTGACAGGAAGTGTTGGAGATCAGGTTTAGAGGCCTCCCAGGACAAGCCTTGGTTATGAAGTACCAATACTGCCGTCCCCCTTGGTACATTAAATGATGCATACAAAGACACTAATCTACGACCGAATGCGATTTACAACACTGGAGGGGTGACCGTGGCTTCCAAACCCAGAGAGATCGGTCCCAAAGAGAGTTGCACCCAGAGTGCAACAGGCATTCCAAGGAGGGCTGTCGTAATTCCTCGCTCCTGTCGTGTTTGTAGAGTCACAAGTTCAATTTCGGCGATGGTACATGAAAGCTCAACGTCTGACTTTCCTGGGCTCTGATATCCGGCAGAAACGTCTGCCTTGAAGAATTTATGGTCACCGTTTGACTTCAGTTAAGAGTGACATCTTACTGCAAGCACCTCAAGAAATAACAAAGGGGCTACAGTTTTATCCCAACTCTCTGAGTTCTATCAAATGTCTCCTACACAATTGTTTACTACTTCACAGCCTACTAGGGCCACTCTTCTGTGTAAAAACATTTGAAGTCTTAGCCAAATCCAGGAGATCATGACCCCCTGGGTTTCTTGAGATGTGCCTGATGATTGATGGGCCTAGTTTTTGCAGGTGGTCAGCACCAAGCTCCCCTAGCTACTACTCCCTGCTGGGCTGTGCTGGAATGCCAGGGAGCATCACTATAGCTGAGTATCCTGGGGGGATTCTGCTATGAAGTGGTGCATAAAAGGTGAGTTTATC